AAAGATTAAGCTTGTCTGACATTTTCGTTACATTGAATCCAGACATTTGACGCTTATCTGGCGGTGTCAAATTCACATTTACGAACTCTTTCAGCCTGTTTCTTTCGTGTATTTTTTATGTAAAACATATCCGTCCTGAAAACGAAAGTAATTCCTGGGAAATTTTGCTAAAATTTCCATCATCGCTCAAACTGCGAAGAGCCCCGCACTAAAATTCAGAGACGAAAAACTCAGAAATAGGCCGAGTGATATAGTACGTGTCAGCATCAGCCGTTAATTGTTATAGCTGTCAGTAGCTTCACTAAAAGTTTTTTTCGAATCTACTGCATGCGCTAGTACCAATTTGCTACTGGAAAAAGGCGAATGAACAGTCCGTTAAAGCGAAGTCAAATTCTCGGAGGTTAGCATAGGATTGTTACAGCGTACACCTACTTGTGATAGGGTTTTCTGTTTGAGCCTGCATGGGTTCATTAGTTATCCCCCGTGTATGCTTGTCAACTCTTTGATTGAATGGTTGTTCCCTTTTTCGCTGGGATTAAGTGATGCAGCATGGTATCTGTTACAGTTATCAATGAGGGATTAACTTATTGCGTCTAATTTAATGCCTTATTACGCTCAAACCATTACAACGATGTTGTACGCGCTGCTTTTTTGATGCGCGTTTTATAATTCAAAGTAGCTTCCAGAATATAGGCTTTGGTAGCAAAAATATTTTGTCTTTTAGAAAAACATGCTATTTTCCATGAATTTTTCGTATGTACCTTTCGTAAATTTTGCCCGTCACTTCCTGCAGTTTTTATGTTGCATATGAGATCCTTTTAACAAGTTGGTGAACTCCGGACTGATAAAAGCCGGAAATGTTTATCTATGAATAAGAAAAATCGGACCAACAGTATTTTACGCGCAGATGTGGATCACCAGGAAGAACGGAACAGACAAGGACATTTATGGAACATAGCAAATTTGTAAATTATTTTGTTTAAATTTAGTTGGTTATGCTGGAGTAATTACCTAATTGGGATAGGTGATGCTCAGAAATGAATTGAAATACGTACACCTTGAAACCACTAGTTTTCTATGCGCAGCAAAGCCTGGAACGCATAGATGCAAATTTTATCTTCACAGCTATAACTTTTTTCCCAACAATCCGGCAAGGATGAAGGTAACATGTAATAATTAAAATTGTTGGAATACTATAAATTTTTTTCAGAGAAAAAAATTTAACGTACTTTTTTCGGACGTGTTTGCTACGATTGCAAATTTGTTTTGCTTTACTGCACTAAATAAAATTTTTAAGATCAAAATGCAGGTTAGCTGTAGTCAGCTCAGTTTTAATTTGCATTTCAAATTTGTCTTCCGGAGTTCAGTTTGACCAGGTGATTTGCCTGGTTTCATAATTTACGAGTGGGCAGCCCAGTTTCTGGAGTAAATATTTATCACAGTGGAAGAGTCTAGAAAAGTTGCACGTGCCTTTGATTGATCATCGTGATAGCATGAGGGCTACAGCTGCAATTAGATCCGCTACTGATACGAAAACAATCATCCTAGTTACTCGATTTACTTGAAACAGCTATTAGTTCATCACCAGTTCACATTCATAACTTCCTCCAAAGCTGTAGCAGCAACCATGCCATTCGTTTTGGTCATTGGCTCTTCGCATCAAATTGTTCTTTTGTCATTTCGTAGGTGTCATAAAGTAACCATCCCGGTTGCTGAAGATAATTTAGCAAGTGGCTTATCTGGCTTCGGCAAAAAGTTAGCTTTGACATCTATCGACAGTTATAGCAAGTACTCTTAACTGTAAGAAATCCTGAAAGCCGAAATGAAACACCTGTTTAAATGGAAGCACCCCTTTGCTGTTTTGTCAGATTTGCTTTTTTATAGCTTTTTTGCCATCTTCATTTGTGGTATGAGACCAGAAACTAGTTGTTTGGTCATATTTGTCAACATTTACGCTTTTCTGGTGAAATTCTTTTTTCATTAACTGGAACCTTTGCAATTTATCTCTCTGGACAGATGCATTCGTCTTTTTTTTCGGATCTGCTGCTGTGTTAGCTCCAGTCTTCCAGAAATGCATGGTGTGCAAGTGTCTCAGGTTGCCGAATTCAAGTTTATTCATTTCTAGTGTTTTTCGCTCCACTAAAGTATCATTTTACAAGTGATATAGTATCTTGCATATTACAGCTGTTGTGTTTGTATCACATGTTTTTTCGTTCTTCCTGAAAGAAAAGGAATGCTTTGTGGATCAGAAAATTATTTGCGATAAAATGATTCATAGCAGTTCCTTTCTTTATTTATCAAATTTACTCTTGTTGATGCTGCAGTGTATCTGGGTTCAACTTTTTTTTTTTGTATACGAACTAGTTAATAGACTGACGTGAATATGGATTTACTTCACACCCACTTCTTTTCAAAAAAAATTGCAGGCTGACAGCTCGAAAGCCAAAGATGACCTATTTTAACACACAGTGTGAACCACTTGTGGATTGTGCCTAGCCATATTTGCCTTTCTGGCGTGAAATTAGCCTCTTTTAAGAAATCATTTGGAAGCTAAAAACCTTAATAGAATTGGCTTGGAAGTTGTGAAACCAGGCCCGCAGGTTGCTGGACTTGAATTTGTCAAAAAGGCATAAGAAAGAATTTTTTACACTAAAAGGGAAAATTACCAGTCCCTGGAAAGGCTCTTGGATGGCACATTGCATTTTCGTGGATTTTCCAATGTGTGAGTTAGTGCATGATTCCAAAGGATTGGAGTGCACTGGTAGAAAGTAGGAACTTTTGTTTCTTTACATTTTTTGCACAGTTTATTTTGTAACGTAGAAAAAGGAGTGTCTTTTGCGTTTCAGTTAGTCTCCTCCGATCTCGTTTCAGGATGTTGAGCACCAATGTAACATCTTGAATCGACACGAACTTTCGAGATCGCAACAATACGAATTGCAGCGTTTCATTGACCAAAATTCATATCTTTTGCGCTCGTCAAGCTCGCAAGGTATTTTCGCAGCCATTTGAAAAAATTCAGGTCTTTCTCAGTCTTTTAAAACTTACTGCGACGGCATTAGTGTTCGCCATAACACCAAATTGAAATAATAAAAGCTTCCACAACGTCTTTCACTTATTTGTCAGTTTCTTTGAACTTTTGCGACTCGTTGTTTTTTAGCAGTGACCGAGAGTTTTGACCAAATGCCTCCCTGTCAACTGCCGCGCAAATTCGTTGACAATTAAACTTCTGAAGTATTTATTTGCTGCGCTTTTAAAAGTAATATTTTTCAAAAGAAACAAGTTTAGGATGTTGTTCATGATATTTATCATATCATGTAATGATTTGTTAATTTTTTTTTAAAATTTCGCAAAAAGCCATTGCGTCACTATGATGTAATATCCCTGGTCCCCTGTCTAACCTTTGGACACCTGCCCTCTCTAGAGTTACGCACTACCTTTGATTTGTGGTCACCCAGGTTCGTAGGCACTTCTCCCCGCCTCCAAGATCCAGCTTTTTTTTCCTGCACTTCGTCCTTCCGCTGAGTTCGACCACTATGTTCTGGAAGATTCGGCTTCCCAGAGCTTCGTGATATTCGTGTATTTTAATTTGTTTTGTATAACCAATATCTTTTTGTGCAATATAATTATAAATCTATATATCTATTACTAGTTATCGGTTACACATACACTTGTACACACACCCATAGGACATGCACTAGTTCAGTCATCAGTTTTTGAGGTTGCGATAAGCACTTAAGCAGTAATATGACCTTAGGATTCTTGGCACATCTTCAAGGGTGTAAAATGAATATACCCGGCAAATTATCAGTGAAATGGTGCCCACCTATGCTCATTCATTGACAAAGCGTCCATCGTTTTTATTGTTATAATATAACTGGCAGACATCCAGGATAATGTTTTCTATACGGGTAACAGGTGACTCGTCAAGTTGGTCGGAGGACAAAACAGCTGAGCAATCCGGGCACTATCACAACAGCAACTACGGGACCTCATCATTCTCGCCTAACAGAAGGTTAGCTGATGTGTAAATTGTTTATCGCTTTCCTTTGCTACCAGACTTTCCTGACTTATTTGGGAACTAAGCATACAAGCATTTCATTAAAAAATCGGAATGAAAATGCAACACAAAGTGCGAAATTTTTCACTTGGTCATATCCTGCAGTTATTTTTTGTCGCAATTAGCGGGTTTTCCCCGAAGGGATGCTGTGAGTGAAAAAGCGCTGAACTGTGTTAAAAATCAAGTATTTTGGTCTTGGAGTATAATATTAGGGCAGAATTGCCCCGCTCAAAAAAGCGGAACCCAAACTAAGGAAGTGTATGTTTTCTTTGGGTCGAGCCTATTTCTTGCCCTATAATTTTAGTCCTGGCCTAAATAGCATTAAGAATTGTAGCGGGAGGCTTATGGGGATGAATGAGTGTATCAGTGTGGGGAAATGTTGGACATACTGCATAGAGATTTAGGAAGAAAAAGGCTCCGGTCTTTCAAGTCCCTGATTTTAGGGTCGCTTATCGAAAGCCTTGTTTTGAAGGCTTTTTGTGTGATTTTTTTTGCACTGAGAGCCGGTTTCTGCGATAAAATCTTATCTAGCCCATAGGCAAATTCTTTTTTGAGAACTTTTTTTAGCTTCTTTTTTCGAGAGCTTATTTTTAGCTCGTAACGGGCTTTAACATTCCAAAAACCTTTCGGAGATCGTCCTATAGATAAGCTTTTCTCATTTTAGTTATTTTTTTCTAACATTTTTTTTTAATTTTATGCATTTATAAAACGCTTGATATTCCCCGAGCCATTTATTGTTCGTCGCTTTATGCACATCTGACTGCTGTTTCTACACATTACCAACTCTTGCAGCAGAAAAGAAGTGAAGTGGTCGGACAGCGTGCACCCATCGTCGGCGCCAGAAGCAGCAGTAGTACACAGAACGCACTCGCTTTCGCCAACCAGGTCACGCCCGAACAACTATTTGCAAGACCGTGATAGCGGTTTTGAAGACTTTCATAGCATGTACAGTAGCCCGAACAGTGGAGGCACTATGTCGCAGTATGGAAGTGCGGGCTACCTGAACAAGGATCGCGACAGTCAGTCTCGCACCTTCAGCCCTGCGGCCGTCAACTATAATCAGCCGCCAATCTATGGGAAGCATCCTGTATGTCCTTAAATGTGTCACTCTAATTTCGTTAATGTTCTAGCACTTCACGACACTGCTTTATAACGTATACCATTTTGAAACAGTTGAACGTTATCGTTCAGATAGGAAACTGACAACTCATCAAATTGCATCGCCTAGCGGTCAGCTTACTTCTGATCATGGCCTTCGTTTCGTCGCCTGAGAGAATTACCAGCTTAACTGTTCCCTGAACAAAATCACGTTGGCTGAGTTTTATTCGTTTCAAGATGTCGCTGGTTTCTATAGATCACAGCTATCTCAAATCGGACATTATCACTCCTAGACCACTCGATACTTTGTCTGCTAGACGTTGAATGTATTGAGTAAAAAATTTAATCTTTATGTCAAAAAACAGTGCGTTCGCAGGATGATTACAATCGCTACGAAACAGCGCGTTCCCGCAGTCGACAGACTCAGCGGCATCGAGAAGAAGACGAACGGAGTCGGTTTTCGGGTTACGGAGATCGGCCGGGTTCAGGAGTCGAATTCATGCCCACAAAATGGCACGGGGGCGAGGTTTGCACTTCTGTTGTTGTAAATCCGTGTTCGATAGCTTAACAGTTTTGATCCTTTGGACAGATTATTTGTGCCGCCAGAGACTTTCTGTGAGTTATGACTGGAATAAAAAACTATACAGAATTTGTTCCTGGGAAAAGGAAACAGGTAACGTAACTTGCTACTGGATTTTTCTGTTGTGCAGGTCGATGTAAGACGATGGCATTTACTAAGTGGAGTGTTTAGGCGATGACGAAGTAGATTTACAGAATTAATTTCAGATAATAACCAATCCGGGTAACTTGCCGCGCTCTCTAAAACCGCGGCGTCTATACTACTCGCCAATCGGCGATGGTGTTGTGGCGGCGGATGGCGTCGAAATGAAACGCCTCCCACAAGAAATGTCTCCGAGGATTCAAGTAACACATGCAAGAACTCTTGACAGAGGTGAACCTGGCCAAGGCGGTTATAACATCTATGCCAGAACTGCTACACATGGTATTTCACTTCTTCATTCCACTGCAAATTTGTTTGAAAAAAAATTTTTTTTTTTTTTCATCGGCAATGTTTGAGAGTTTTGAAATGAATCTTCGTGCATTTCTGCGCTTTTCTCAATAATCTTTTGTTGATAATTTCTAGATGCTGGCAGCGAATATGGAAGCGATCTGGGTGGAAGCGGACGAGACTCGAGATTAACTGGCGGCCTTTCACCAGGTTTTACTTCTTTCTCCCAAATAAATTTTATTTTATTTTAATTCTTGTAAACAGAAACATAATTAGCAGCATTACTTGGAGAACCACCATTAGTTTTGTTTGTAAGCAATCACTGAATGAGGAAGCTATCGACAGCCTTGCTAGCAGTTGGTCCTTTTAACACTTACTAGCCTCAAAACGTTCCCGAGCAAGAGGGTATTTTGGCTCTTAATAAAAAAATCTAATCGCGTCTTTTTTCTCGCCTTGTATTGAAATTTCGTCTCACTTTCATATAATTACACGTTTGGAGCAAAGACGTACCTTCCTACAGCTTCTTTTACGTCTCTTTAAAGATTACTGTACTTCTGTGTATTTGAGAGGCCTGAATAAACCACATAGAAGTAGCGCAGGAGAGAAGCCTGCTGTATTTGCATTTGGTATGCGATTGCACACGGTGATAATCACATGCTGGTAGTCCGACTAGTCTTGGCGAAAATTTAAGTGTAAATTTCATGACATATGAATATTAGAGCTTGCGCAAGATTTTTATCAATCCAGAGTTTCAGCTGCAGTATAGTAGTGTCCGCAACAGGACACTTTTTGCCGACCAGTTTGCAAACTGCTAAAGTTTGCAGGAAGTGATTCTTATGGCCATAGTGGTGTTGGCCCCGGTATGAGTCAAGGAGGTCGAGAACCGGATTACAGAGCAGGGGGTACCGGCGTTGGAACTGGCAGCGGTGCCGCTACTGGGGCTATCCCAATGGGCTACGGCGAGAAAGATTACTCACCAAAAGATTATTCGAATACGCTTGGTAACGAAGGATATCCTGATGGGCGAGCTGATATCTATGGTTGGCTTGAATTATGAGTTCTAAATGCTTTAGTGAAATTCGTTACTACGCTTTTCGCATGCCACTGCTTTTTCATTTGCTGCTGCTCGTTATGCTGAAAGCCAAATTACCTCGTACATTTCAGTTCCACTGGGAGGTAGAGACACTCATTAGTACCGCACTGCCTATAGCAGCGTCGTTGGCGTAGCTATCGATGACTTTTTCTTCCGGGTGTCGCTTGGAAGCATGCTAGTACTGATGCCCTAGTTCACCCTGGTCCTTATACAGTTCTAATATCCAGATACAAAACGCTTTGCTGGACAAACAGTATGTTTTAGAAATCCTGAGCACTAAAGAGAGATGTGCAAATGACTTTTATCTAAGCGACATTTTTGTCGAATAGTCCGTAGTGCCACTTTCTTACGGTACGCATGCAACATGTAGGCCCTGTTGCCGATGAAAGTATTCCAACGACGATTCTGTTAAACAGAAAATTCTGAGAAAGCCGTTAGAAGAAATTCATACGTAATTGCCGATCAATTCATTGGAAAAGGGACCATCTGCAGCTCTGCCAGCAGTTGACTGCCTTCTGATAGTGCAATTAGAGTAGGGACCAAATAAGTCTCATGCCTCTTTTGGAAGTGAAATAACGGAGAGTTCTTGAGTTTTTTTTTTTTTTGTTTAGCATTTTTTCCCAATTATAGTCGAGCTCTGCCTGCATCTCTTCCTTCATGCTTGCATTTGTAGAGCACCAGCACCACATTCGTTATGCACTTTTCCGCACACCTTTTTTTAAGTATTGCACAGTTTTATTAATTTTCGAATCGAGTACAGGCGGTATGAGAGGCCGGGGTGGTGTGGATGGTTACAGCACTGGTGGCTCGCCAAATTATAGTTACCAGTCTCCAAATGTCGTCTACCACCAATACTCATCGGCCTACTACGATCCACACAGCACACTTGGCTCCGCAAGATCTGATCCGTTTGCTGGCGACTACAGAGGTTTGTTTTTCAAGTTACACAATCGGTTATACTCGATTTCTTGGCTCGGAACCATGACTCCTTGCATTAGCTTGAAATTATTCACAGCACTGTAGTAGGCTATCGTTTGCACTGTCATGCTATGAAAAGCAGTTTTGTCGTCTTCTTGCAGCTACACGCTTTTTCTGCTAAGCAGTAGTGCGCACTGGGTGACCTGGCGTTTTTTTGCAGTTGCGTAGATTCTTGGGGATGACACGATCAGATATCATTCCACAAAAGGGCACTTTTGATATTTTTCAAAAAATTAATCAGAAAATGCTTTCTTTTCAGATTTGGATAATAAAATTTATCTGTGCTCTGATTATCCACTTTAAAAATAAAAAGAGCCGTATTGGGAAAAATGGTTTCGCATGGCTTGTGAAAGGGGCAGGAGGGACTATTTTCCTCTTTTGTGTTGTGCAAAAATGCACTGTGGCAAGCCTGTTTCTCTACAAAGTCTGTGCTTATGAATATGCCTGTGCGCCAAGTGATTCGGATTAATTTGAGTCAGGAAATACGACAGTCAAGAAGCTAAAATCCTAAAACAAAGTCTCTTAATACGTGCAAGTTCACAGATTTGAAGCTGCGCCTAAATTTCACATTTCACTGTATCCTAATGTTTGGTCTCAGATTTAGATTTTGCTAAATTGAGGAGTGAATTTAATAAAGAGTGCTGGATGAATAGCTTAGGCCAGATTCCAAGCCCCAATACATCCTGACCTTATACCATTGAGTGTAAATGCAAGTTGAACGTATGATTCCGGGCGAGTAGGGTGGGAGTATGAAATTTGAAGAGGAAACTCTTGTACCACATTTCGCCCGGCTACGCTTAAGCCTACCATTAGTCTGACCAAAAAAGGGTGATACACTAAACATCATGCGTCTAAGCGCAGGTGCATAAACGTAAGGCACACTAACAAGCTCAATAAAAAAAAAAAAAGAAATGAAGTGAAACAACGAATGGGCATCCAATTAAAGAGAGGAAGGAGGGACGAGGGGGAAAAATTTATATTAAATTCATGTTCGCAGTTTTTGTATTCATTTTATTGGTCATAATTTAAAAATCATATCTGAATTTGACACTTCTCTTACAAAATTCAACATCGCTCCAGCAAAACTGTGGTCCTTAGGCATCATCGTTTAATCACGTTTGTTTACAACTCCGTTTCCATACATCGATCTGACGATTTCGTCTCATGCTAATCGCGGGAGCAGGGCGGACGTTGTTTCCTGTACTCGGCATTGCCGCACTCTTTATTTCATGCATCTTATTAGCCTTTTCAGTTTCGGCTTTTCATTTCAAGTATAATATTCCTTAATTTTTGATGAGTTATTTGGCTGTGAAGGATTGCTTTTATTATTTGTTTAATTTGTTGATTGCTTGGTTAGTTAAAGGTCGTTCACAGAGCGCAGATCCGCTAAGCGCACCCAACAGCTATGGTGATTACGGAATTAGGAGCGATGGCCGCTCAAGCGGTATGTTATATAATCCTGGTCATAGGTTTTATGAAAAATTTCTGGAAAATATACGGATGCTTGTGTGAATGAACTTCCAGCTGAGATATGTCCCCCTCGTACATTCAGAAAGCTTTTCCGTTTCCGCAGTCAGTAGTTGTGTCAAAATTGCTTGAATGCGAAGAGATACCGGTGAACAAGGAACTAAATTTAATGCACAAAATTCAGTTTAGATTAACACCAGCTTCTTACTGCTGGGTTACTTTGATATAGTCAGGCAGACTTAGAATAACATATATGGCCCGTAATGTCACCACTTTTACTTTTACTGACATGAGTCAAATCAGTGCCTCTTTTTTATTAACCACTGAGCTCGAAGCTGCTAATGAAAGTAATGAATTACGTTTAGCTGCATCTGGATTTTACGGTATGAGCAGCTCAGATCGATCCCGAAAATTTGATATCACGAAAGACTACTTGATTACAAATCCACGCGAATTAATTCATCAGTATGCCACCACAACTCCGGTTTCTGTACTTGAGATACCCGAAACATCACGCACTGTCAAGAAAATGTATTCATCAACCACTGAAGAAAAGTAAGATTTCACTGAACTTAAAAAAACTTGTCTGTAGTCCAGCAGCATGAAGTTTCAGGATCACTTTGTTCCGCAGCGTAAAAATTTTGGTGTTACCAAACTCAAACATTTGTTTGTTTCTCAGGATTTTTCAGCATCATCGGTGTAATGAGATTTGAAAAAATTCCTGCTGGGAGAATTGAAAAAATTTCTAAACGCATCAATATGAGAAGAACTTGTGTCTGTCGGCCATAGTAAACCTTAACCAGTAGTTGGTTGGGCAGCAGCAGCCTTCTTTATTGTTTGAACGACGTATTGGCACACTCATTTTCAAAGCACAGTACAACAAAAGACAGTGAGCGTACGTAGAAATTGCCGTTATTGGCGAGTGTAAGATTGGCGAATCAGTACACGAATCCCACAGTTGTGTAGCATGAAAATAGGACGGTCCACAAACTGCTAAAATATGGTACCAGGCCTAACCGGGCTTGGACGCAAACATGGCCTGAAATCCTATTGGCCCGGATTGAGGCTAGATTTATTATGTTGAAGAATTAAAGAAGGAAAATTTACCTCGCCTTCCACAGCTCCCGTTCTCTCTCTGTTGCCATCTGCTTTATCACTGGCATCATTCCCTAAAAAAAAGAAATATTATCATTAAAAGATTTTCCAGTGGAGCTGTCAAATAAAAAAAAATTTCAGTCCAAAGTATACAGAGCTAAACTTACCGTATCTGCAACCGCTACCCGGTTTTTAAACTCATTCTAACAGTTTAGTGCTAATTCACTCATTCTTTTGCTGGCCAAATTTCACACCTTTTTAACAAAAAATTTCCTTGTATACTCTTCCTTTCAACGGGCTTCACACAAATTTTCTCAGTTAAACCGAATTTTTCAGTTTTCGAAATCAAGCCTTGTGGGCACTATTTAAACATGTTGTGGATGTGAAACCGAAATTTGTGAAGCAACTCAGGAACAGATTGCAAGTTTTCGCCCGGTCCAGGATTGTCGAGAAGTTGTGGGATATCTTTGCCGGCAAATACTACCAAAAGTAGTGGCTCTAAAAAAGTCAACAAAGTAGATCTTAGTAGAAAGCGTACCGGCTGCCGGTACGAGGATGCATTTTTTGCACAGTTCCCCCCGTAGGTTTTTTTCGCCAATGGCACGTCCGTCCTGGCAGATACTTCTAGCTAAAAGAATTGGGGCTGGCCACCACGACTGTTAGAAGTTATTACAATGACTCCCAATCCATGCCCAGAAGATCCAGCGCTCTGGATGTTTCGTTTGCGGAGTT